GCGCACTCCCTGGTCTGCTCCCCGGGTGTTAGGGTCATAGTGCCTTGTGTGCCTGGAGTTGGGTTTCCCAGCACCAGAGCCAGAGTCTCACTTCCGCCCGCTGCTTTTCCTGATGTGCCCTTTTCTTTTCACAAGAAAGGGTAGGTAGAGAGCGGTAGAATGTTTTGGCCAGCTTTTCATTATACAGCTTCTTACTGTGGCAGACTCCATAGAAACCATTATTTTGAGAAAATTATTATGCACATTGAGGATCCTTTATCCAAAATCTAGGGACAGAAGTGTTTCAGATTTCAAGTATTTTCAGATGTTGGAATATTTGTATACATAAGATGAAGTGTACTGGGGATGCAAGCCAAGCCTAAATACAAAATTTATTTGCATTTTCTGTACTGCATTTACCCAATGCTTAAAGATGATTTTGTAGTATTTTTACTGAACTTATATTTTGACCGTAACCCTTCCCACAAGGTCAGGTGTGGACTTTTCCCTTTGTGGCCTCATGTTGGTCTTCCCCACTGCTCAGATTTTAGAGCATTTTAAATTTTTTATTTTCGGATTAGGGCTCCGTGATCTCTAGTACAAAGAAATTGGTACCGTCCAAAATACAGACTAGCGTTTCAAGGGCTGCCTAGAGCACCCTGTGCGGCCCTCACCCCTTGCCCCTCGCCCCCGTGTGGCCTCCTGGGCTGCTGGCAGTGTCAGGCCACCCCCTCGTCCGACACAGCGCCCCCCCCCCGCCTCAGCGCTGGCTCCCAGTTGTCCCTCTGTCTGAGCTGTCTGACACCCCGAGTGTGGGGCCCACACCAGTGGCGTGGTGGATGTCCACGGGCAGAGTGCTGTGCAGAGCTGGGCCGAGCCAGGCCTCCCGGGGCACGTGTGCTCCACGCAGCCACTTCTCGGTCCAAGGTGTCAGAGCGTGGCGCCCACATGCTCCCTTCCCCAGGAGGGCCCAGAGCCAGCCCTTTGCCCAGTCGCCCCGTCAGCGTGCAGCCTGAGGGCCTCGTGTCCTCTGGCTGCTCGCTTGTGACTCCATTAGCCTGTGGTGCTGTACTCACCGGGAATTAGGTAGTTTTCTTCCAGGGCTTCTGCGAGAGATTAATGAAGAGAATCCCCACTCACCCGCCTCCTCAGATACAGCCACCTTGTGCGAGGTGGCTGGCACTTTGCCTCCCTTGTGCTAGGTGTAATGTGAAAAGCAGAACGGCCAACCTCTTGCAGAGAGCAGAGTTGTCGGCCGCTGGGTGCTCTCTGCTGCAGAGGTGGCGGGAGGGCTGCTCGCTGCAGTGTCCCTTGCCCCAAGTCCCTGGCCTGTCTTTCGGCTTCCTGGTGGCATGTGTCCTTGGCAGCGAAACCTACTGTGGCACATTGGTGTCACGTGAGTGTGCGTGTGTGGAATTCATCTGTGCAGCGCGTGCCTGCTCTGCGGGGTGCTGGGTGTGGTGCCCGGGCTCGTGCGACTTCTGGGAGGACCGCCTACACAGGGGCCTTCTGTTAGCACAGCCTCCTGGGAGGAGGATCAGCGAACTTACAGAAGGCTGTGGGCTTCAGCGTGGTTGAGAAGTACAGCGGCCCAGGTTGGGTGGGGTGGGCTGGCCCAGCTGTGACAAAAGGGGGAAACCACAGGCGAGCGAGGACAGTGAGCAGTGGGAAGGCTGACTGCAGACCGCGCGGCGGGGAACAGGTACCCTCGTTACTGCTGCCGCAGGTCGCGCAGCCAAGCGGACTGTGCTGAGTGGAAGCACGCAGGGCACCGGCAGGGCACCGCGGCAGCAAGAGCCACCACAGTGGTGAGAGCCACCGCAGGTGGGCTGTCGGGAAGGGGAGAGATGACTGCCTGGACATGGAGGCCTCCAGCCAGGAAAGGCCACGCGGTGTGAGGAGGGAGTCTGAGCGACAGCGCGAGGCAGAAAGCAGCTCAGCCGGGCTGGTGGCATCAGTGATGAGGTCCGTCTCTGCACCGGTCCCTAAAAGCAGGAGTGCGCTCACATCTGCACTACTCCAGGGACCGTAGAATGTAGACCAGAAAGGAGGCAGACCGGATTGCAAGGCGTTCACAGTGTGCGGAGCAGGAAGAAGCCTAGAGCCCACCTCGGAGATGCCCGCGTAGGAAGGCAGGCAGGCAGCCGAGCGGGCCTGGGCTCTGCTCCTAGCAGTCTTGCATGCCTAGGGCGCCCTGCCAGGGCCCAGGAGGGAAGCCCTGTGGGGGCGGGGGCAGCAGGCGCAGCTAGGTGCACACGGGTGACACACCAGGCCTGGCGGGAAGGTGGGCCGCCACGGGCAGTGGAAGCAGTAGGCCACAACACGTGCACGTGGCATGTGGTTTGCGGGGCAGCTTGGGCCCACACAGACCACGGGTAGATTCTAGGTCTCCGAACAGAGCCATCAGGGTACGTAAGTGGGGTCAGCAGCTTTACGTGATTTTAAGCATGAGCCCACTGACAGGAAATAGAACCTAGTAAGTTAAAGTAATTACAAAGTGGTAGTTGCCAGCATTCATTCAGCGCTTACCCTGGAGCGGGTACTTTACATAAATATCATTTAATCTTTTTTTTTTTTTTTTTGCGGAACCAGGGACTGAACTCAGGCCCTTGTGCTTGCCAGGGAAGCACTTATTCCACTGAGCTGCCCCTCACGTAATCTGGACAACTGCTTGTTAAGTTTTTTTATCTCCATTTTAGAAATGAAGAGCTGAGATTCTTAGCACAGCTAACATAGTAAGACGGCCAGGATGCAGACCCTGTCTGCTTCCTGCCAAAGGGTGGGCGGCAAGACCTGTATCCCAGGACCCGCTGCACGAGGTGGGATGCAGGGGCCCTGGATGGTCACTGATTCCACTGGCAGATGAGCCACTAATACCTGGTATCCCACCTTGGGTGGACCACTTACTGTGCAGGAACACAGGTCTGTCCCTGGTACCAGGAAAGGGAAGGTGTGAAGAGGGGGGCTGGTGACAGCTCTCGGGGCTCCAGGTGAAGTGCTAGAATGAGTGGCCCAAGCAGAGCTGGGAACCCAGCACGTGGCCACCACCAGACACGGTGCAGTGAAGGCACAGGGGCTGCGGCAACGTGAAGAAGCCATGGTCAGAAGGGACCATGAGGGGACGCTCACCCCACGCTCAACCCCCGCGGCCTGAGCATGGATGACCATCGCTGCGGTGCGAGGCGGGGGTTGAGAACCAGACCCAGAGCAGAACTTGCGCTTGCTCGGGCAGCACACGTGAGGCCCACCTTGCCAGCTTTTTACTAACTGGTGTTTCTCCTGCCCAGAGTCCATCAGTGAAGTCACGTTTGGCGCGGGCGTCAGTTACATAGAGACGTCACAGACCCCTCTCCCCGCCAAAGGCAAGTTCCCACTTTCTTTCTTGCCCCACCCACCAGCTGCCTTTGAAAGTTTGGATAAAGTGAATTTGTGTTTCCTTTCAGACAAACCTGAATCCCAGAGACAAGGAAATGACATTTTGTGTTTATCACTGCCAGAGAAACCGTAAGTTTGCCAAAGGTTCTGAGGTTTCCATTTCTCATCAGGTCTGTAGCTCCAGGGTGGCTGTTCTCTCCACAGGCCTGCGAAGCCTCAGCAGTGGAACGTGACCTCGCCTGCCAGGAGTAAAGGCAGCCCGGCCTCCAGGAGGAGGTCGCTCCGCAAGGCCCCTCTGAAAACAGCCAACTGAAGCGGGATCGCACTGAGGCCTGACCAGGGTCTGGAGGGTGGTCCGTGCGGTGTGGAGCGGCGGAGGCACTGTGCCCCGCAGTGTACGACCAAAGCCTCCGCGGGGACAAGCGCTCCTGCTCACCTGTGTCTGGCTGGCCAACCTTTTCGACTTTTATAAAACTTGGGAGTTAAAACATTTAAAGTAACAGAAATGCCAGGTTAATATTCAAGCTTAATTGCATTGGACTGTCAGGTCTCTTCTGATAAGCTACAAATCTGGTTTTTAAGGAACACAGAATACTTCTTTCTTTATATCTGAATTCCTTACAGTACATATTTTCCCATATCTGATGACAAAATTTTGACTATAATATTTTTCTTATTTATAATTACAGTTTTCAAAATATTGTACAGCTTTCTAAAGTGAAATAATAAAGGCTTGCATATATAAAGGCTCCTGGCGTGCCACAGAATTTGTTAAAACAGGGCTTTTATTGTAGTTACTGAAATTTCCCACTAGGTATGGGAGTGAAGCCAAGTCTTTGCTGTCAGGGAAGAAGTGACGCTGGGTGTCCCCACGGTCTGGCTCGCCTGCCACCGCCTGCGTTCCTGTGGGGAAGCTGTCTGAGCCTGAGGACAGCTCCCTCCTGGCTGGGGTAGGGCCTCCCCGCCCTTACCGAGGAGATCAGGCTGCAAAGAGCAAACACCTAGCCAAGATCAAGCCAGTGCCCAAACGAGAGGAGAAGGCTTCAGTGTGAGAAGCTGGAGAGGCGAGGTGGGAAGAGCGGGTCAGGCTGGCCTCTGTGCTCATGAGTGGGGACTGGCTTCGCAGGGCCGGCTGGGCATGGGTCCTGCTCGTGCACCTCAGCTGTGCCCTCATGCAGGATGCCAAGGACGCCAGCTCGGGGTCCTCTAAGCGCTGGCCTGCGGGAGAAGCAGCCTCAACTCTACTGGCACTGCCAGGCTGGCCCTGGCCTGCTGCCTCGTGAACCTCCACCCAAGGCCTAAGGCCCAACTGCAGGCCTGGCTGGGCCTGGTCTGATTTTTAACCCCAGTTATTACAGAAGCAAGAGTACAAAGTTAGTTCTAGGTTTTTTCCTTTTAAAGTTAGTGAAAATTCTGTTCTGAGTACCTATTCCTAACATACTGGGTCTCTGTGAGGTGTCTGCCTTTGCCTGGTCAGCCTCCAACTCTGTACTCTTCCCACGCCCGTGTGCCAGAGGGACGGATGCACGCCACTCCTGGCTCTGGGCAGCCTTCTACACATGTACAGGACACGAGTGTGACGACAGTACAGCAGTACCGGGTACTGAACTCGGGACCTTGCGCTTGCCAGGCAAACACTACTCTACTGAGCTATCTCCCCAGTCCTATTTTTTACTTTTAAAAAATCATTTAAAAGATGTGTGGCCTTTAATCCCCCTTGCTGCAGACACACTTGGCTCGCACGTCTCCTCCCGCTTGCCACACTGTGAAGCAGGTCTGGAAGTCTCTCGTGCCTCTCCATTTACACTCTCAGGTGTTCAGTGTCCGAAATCAGCTCATATCTGCAGTGGCCAACACCTCATGTCAGCTTGGCTAGATCGCCTCCTGGTCTCACACCCTGGGCTGTGGGGGCCCCGCCCCAGAGTAATACCACACAAAAAAGATACATAAAGGGGTTAAAAAGATTCAGCACCACTTTCTCAAAAAAGCTTCAGTCTTCACAGCTTAGACTCCGTCTCCTGGCTCCAGTGCAGTCTTTGGCCTCCAGCTGGGATCCTTCAGCTCCCATCGCAGATTCTTCAACCTTCTGTCGCAGACCCACTGGCAGACTGACAGAGGCTTGCAGAGAACACTGCAGTGAGCTCCACACTGGACTGAATCCTTCAGTCTCGGGGGTGCAGACGCCCTCTGCACGCTTCCTCATCCGACTCTGCGGCTGACCGTCAGAAGCCAATCTTGTAACTTCTTAAACATTTATACATCCTGCGTTATATCTGTTCCTCTAGTAAAACCCTAATACAACATCGTTTATCTGTCCGGGTCAGTCTGACTTAGGACAAGCCAGATTTAATGAAAATGCTGGATGAAGACACAGCAGCGCCTTCGCAATCCTGCGCCCCTCCTTCGGACAGCACTGGGCAGCGTACTCCCCGGACAGTCCCAAAAGGACTTTCAGGACTGCTTGGCCGAGTGACCATAACAGGATGGGAGATCAACAGCGGTGTATTTTTTACTGTGGCAAACTTAAAGAGCCAACATGCATGTTGATCTTGCCCTCTCACACCCTCTTCTGCTCCCCTTTACATGGGAGGTGTTAGCGAGAACCCAGAACTCGGCATGCTCAGCAGAGCCGCTCTTTCAGTGTGTTAGCACACAACAGTTGGATTGGAGATACGGAAGGCCACTGGGCCCTGCTTGACACGTGAACTGTGACATGGTGGCCTCGCCACTGGTGCGGTGAGTCCCCAGGCTGCTTCTGAGCGGACAGACTTGGCTCCAGTGCAGGCGCAGAGTTCCCTACATAAGATCTTGGGACCGTGCTTTCCAGGGTACCTGCCTGACAAGATGCCAGGAAACTGTGGGACACCCAACGTAAGTATACAGAAAGAAGGACGGTCTGATGTTTTTAAAGCTTTTATAAATGAAGTTTTTAACAAATACCGAATTACATGTGTGTTAGTACAAATCTGTAATGCCTACATACAGCAACATTCATACCAAAGGCCTGAGGAACAGCCTGCGTGAGGGGCACTGACAAGCCCTCCTTCCCTCAGGTCTGGACCACAGGCCGGGGCCCCAGGGCACTAGTGCACAAGAATGTAAGAACCGGAGGCGTCCCATCACGGTGACCCCAGGCAGTGGCAGCATGCTGATTCCCAGCAGTGAGTGGGGCACCACCCTGCCTCCCCAGAGCATGGAGAGGAAGTGGGTGCCCACAGCCAGACACCCAAGGAGACAGGAACCTCGGAGGGAGTGGGTGCCGAAGAGCTGCCCGCTGTCCCTGCCCAGCATCCCAGGTGATGACAGGCTGCATAACAGCAAGCAGCACATGCCCAGTACTCAATGAAAAATAACTGGAAGTATAAAACTGAGCCTCACGTGACAGACTGCATTCTACAGGAAAAACTCGCTCTGGCACCCGACGGCATCTGCCCGTGCGGCGCGCCTGCTCGAGCCTCATGCCCCCAGGAGTCCGCCGCAGTGTACTGCGCCTGAGACCACCCATCCACTCGGCAGCTCAAAGGCTCCGCCAGGAGTTTCTCACACCCCTGAAAAGCGAGCAGCGTCAGGTGGGTAAAAAATTCAAATCAAAACTAGAAAACTGCTTCCGACACAGGCATTCTTTTCCTCCCAAGGGCCTTTGACCCTGGCTGGAACACCTGATCTTCCAAAGGCTGGCTGCCACCACCCAACAGTTATGGCGCAAAGGTGCCAGCGTGCTTCCTTCAGGGGAAAGAGGACCAGTGGGTTTATTTTCTTTAAAAAATAGCTCAGAGATTTGGCTTCAAAATTGCCCTTGGCCCTGGGCCGTCACGCACCGCACCCAGTGAACTTCCCAACACAGCAGAGGAGGCTCTGCTCTGGGAGCCACCCTCAAGCACACAGTTTTGCACAGGAGCTTGAAGCTGGGACGTCACACAGCAGACGCAAGCCCAAACACTGGCGCGTGAGCAGCATGAGCAAAGCAGGGGGACACAGGCTGCCCAGGCCGCAAAGGCATCCACGGGCGCAGCCCCGCCCCACGGTCCCGCCATGCAGTCTGTCTCGGGACACAGGTGCTCCCGGGCTTGCTCTGGGAAAGGCGCAGGAATGTCCACACTGCTGCTGGGAATACTGCACCGTGAAGCATCAGCAACCACGGTCGGTCTGATGTGCAAGCTGCCTAAGTTTTCTTATGCAAATACTATCACTGGGATGGACAGAGGGATGTTGGAGAACCTCCTGGAAAGGGTTCTTTGGCTAAAAGAATTAATGGTACTTTCCAATTTAACACTAGTAGCTTGGAACTTCCACCTTATGCTCAACTCTTAAAAAAATAAGTTTTCAAACACTGTATGACAATATATTTACAGTTTAAATAGAAATTTTCTTTTCAATAATCAAAATACATCTTTAGCAAAAATTTAGAATGTAAAGTGTTATAAAATAAGCAAGACCCAGAGAAAAGCGTATTTCAGTACCGTTTCAGACTTAGCCTAAGACAAAAGGGTTTCCTCAAGCCCCAACACACAGGGCACCTGGGGAAGAAAGCCGTTTATCCTCTGAGCGTGTTTCTTTCAAACGCAGGTCTGAAAGATCTGAGATGGGTAAGCCTGAAGCAGAGTGCAGGTTTAGGCCCAGAACAGCCCCACTCGCAAACCCTTACGGGGCTCTCGGACCGAGGCTGCGGCCTCACCCGCGCACGCAGCTGCCGCAACAGCCTGACCCGCACCCACTCACGCAGGCGGCCTCGCCCGGCGGTGGCACTGCCCATGCAAGTGCAGGCCCAGTGCGCAGCTCAGAAGAGCTGCTGCGGGCAGGACCTTTGCGATCGCCTGCTGCCCACGTGGGGCCCGGGCCAGCAGCAGACTCGCCTCGCTGAGCTGCTCTTCCCTGGTGGTTCCTGTGCCATCTCCAGGAAGGCTCTTTTATTCGTGTGGCTTGTTAGAGAGTAAGACAGGAGTAGCAATCAATTTTGGCCAACACAAAAGCGTCCGTGTGCGCGCTGGCTTCTTCGGTGTGCACAGCCCACGGCGGCCCTTGGCAAGAGTGTGGGTGGAGTCGAGGTATCTGCGTGTGCTCTCGGCCACTCCGCCAGCTCTCAGATCACAAACGAGGATTTGTGTCTGAAGTCGCCCTGCAAAGCCAGCCCCTGGTCAGAACAGGGCTGGAGCAGGGTGACAGGACTGGGAAAACTCACCCAACTGAGTATGGACTATGGACTACACACGTCCCCAGAGAGGGAGCAGGGGACAAACTGAAAACAAATGAGATTGTCACTGCTGGCAGTAACATCAGCGGGACAGGCATGGGGCCCAGAACTCCGCAAGGCTGAGGCAGGAGGAGCTCGAGTGCAGTCCCTCCCTGGCAACTTCATGACCCAGACCCTACGTAAAACTGAAGAAGGCTGGGGGCTCAGGTTGGAGGCCCTCTGCTTCACTCCGCCGGGTCCCTCCCCTACACAGAATAAAACAAAGAGCAGCAACCTGCACTCAGCCTGCAGGTATGGACGCCAGGAGGGCACCTGCTGGAGCAGCTACGCACTCGGCATCTGCGCGTAACTGGGAAGCGTCCTGCGGGGCCCGCTGGGACACCAGGCAACAGTGGGTGCCTTCCTTCCTCCAGCCACCTTCCTCTCCCTCCTCACCTCCTCATCTGTCCTGATGTAGTTCACACCGTCAGGTTTCCCTGGGTTCTTGTAACTGTGAACAGAGGGAGACAGCATGTCAGCGGCGTGGCACCCTGTGAAGGCCGGCCCGCACCCGCTCCTCCTTGTAAGGCAGGCCCACCTTTCTTCATCCTGTTTGCTGTTGATGAAGTAGCCACGTCTGTATGCACAGCAGATGCCAAGCGTAATCAGGACCAGGACCGCCAGGACCACCAGAACCCCTCCGATGATGCCAGCGATGTTCAGGTCATCTGCAGAAAGCAAGTTCATGTGAAGAGACACTACACACCGCTCATTCTTAGCAAACACCTGGCCTGCCATGCCTGCCCTCCGTTTGGCCCTCGGCCCTCTCCCGCCTCCCTGCAGCCAGAAGAACACACTTGGAATCTTTCTAGCCAAGGAAGCCCAACACCAGTGAAAGGCACCAAGCCTTCCACAGCTCAAAGGCAGTTATATTAAATATGGAATTAAGAGAAGCTGGCCTTCAGAACACACTTTAAAAGTCCTCCAGCTGAATGCCCAAGAACATCACTGATGGAAGACACAGCTACCCTGCATGCAAAATTAGGAGCCAGGAACACAGGGGAAATCCTAATTATCAGCGCTGACCTCTGCTCCTCATTATCTTGGGCACATAAATTAGGCTTGAGTCTGAAAAGTAAGAACTAGTGAGGCTCTCACTTACTGTCCACCTGGTCTCAGAAGAAAGCCCTGCATTCCCTTTTCCCACTCCAATGGGGCCAAGGCATTGGCCACTTTAACGTGGGGCACCAGTGGATGTTTCCTTTATGTAAATAAAAATGATGAAAAGATATGCTGGCATTTGTTTACTCAGAAATCTTCCTCTGGGGGAAAACGACCCTAGAGAGTCTCCCAAACTTGCCAGGTGAGAAGATGCATTTAGAATGCACGTCTAGGCTGACAGAAATCCTGTCTGCAAAGACCAGAGTGGACAGATTTCTTCTGGGTAGAAGGACTACACTGGCTGATGGACTCATGTGACGTGTGTTATGGCTTGGCACAAAGTTTGTCTGCATTTTGTTCATGTCCAGACTTTGGATGAGACTTAAGCACAGCACACTGGTTAATCTGGCAGAAGAAATTTCAAGGCAGTCAAATGTTGAGGGATTAGTATGGCTGTTGTTGGAGCTTTTAGTCATATTTATGTTGAGAATCAAGAGCAAAGAACCTAACAGGATGTTTTAAAATGTCGTGAGTTTGGCCAGAAAAGAGGCTGCAATAAAGTTGTGGACTGCAAAGACAGAGGTGAGAGGATCTGGACTGCTGAGAAGAATGGAATAGAAAAGATGGCCTGAGGGCACCACAAGGGGCAGCAAGTCTCCACCCTTTACAGCCTCAAAACTGTGCAAGTAAAAGACTTTGCGTGGAGGAGAAAGCTACAGAATGCCACGTTCCAGAATGGTGGCGGCAGCGGCAGCGGCAGCGGCAGCAACCAGGCTCCAGAATGGCGGTGTTATAGAAAATTTAATTTGTTCCTCAGAATCAGGTTCAGAGTACTCTGCAATCCAGGCATTCAACCCCCACAGCCAAGACAGAAGAAAGCCTGGCTCCTGCTCCGGCTGGCAGCCAGCCTTGGCATCATCCACGTGGCGCTGGTTTTAAGTGCATGCAGAATGGAAGAGTTCTGAGGTTAAGAAAGCTTCCACCTTGATTTCAAAAGAAGCCTGGGAGGCCAGGCAGTGTGCCCCCGGGAGGACAGCATGTGAAGCTGACGGAGAAGCCGAAAGTGCAGTGGAGAACCCAGAAGTGTGGAAAAGCCAGGAACGTGAATCATCTAAGAAAAGCTGAAAGAAGGGAGCAAGGCAGGCCTAAAAGAGAAGCCCTGGAGCACCAACCAGCAGAAGTGCCATGGGGCAGAGCCACTTGGAGCGCACAATTTGCCACGGACTGCTGCTGTGGATGTTCCATGTGGAACTCTAGGACTTGATGTTTACTTTTCTGGATTTTGGACTTGCCTTGGTCCCAATGCTTTGTATCCTGCTGCTTGTGCCTTTTGGAATGATAATGAATGTTGAAAGTGTTTAACTTTTCATTTGTACAGGGGCTCACAGCTAGGAGTTTGCCTCAGACCTCAGGGGAAACTTGGGACTGGGACTTATCAACAATGCTGAAACTATTAAGACTCTGGCAACTCTTAGACATGGACTAAATACCTTTTGCATAAAGGGATGTGCATGAGTCATTTGGGGGGCAGGGGCAGAATGTTACGGTTTGCGCCTGGTTGTCCCCCAAAGCCTCATGTAGTCACTGGGGCAGGTTTCTATAGTTTGTGATTAATCCAAGATCCACTGCTCGGATTACGGGTGTGAGTGCTGCACCTGCCCTGGAGCAGACAGCCTGAAGGCAATACCTGGGAAGAAGGGGCTCGCCTCTACCACCGCTGTGGCCTGCCTTCTTGCTCTGGCTGCTTTGCAGAGAGACAGACAGACAGACACAGAGACAAAGAGATAGACAGAGACAGAGAGAGACAGACAGACAGAGATAGAGAGACACAGAGAGCGAGAGCAGTAGCTAGCTGTCTTTCACTTTCCTAAAAAACTGCTCTAACTGGATACACCTCTGGAAGTGGATCCAACCTTGTGCTTTCCTGCCCATCGATTACCAGAGAAAGGGCACGATGGCGCTCCGCGTCAGCTACCTGAAGGGCCACGTGTGCAGGGCCAGGGCTGCTGCACACCTACCGACCCGAGATGCAGGGCCTCCTCGTCCTTCCTTCGATCTCCCCAATGGCTGCGGCTGCAGCTGGGTCCTGTCACCTCCAGACAAAGGCAGGCACGGGCCAGAAGAGCTGTGTAGGCTGATGGCCCAAGCTGCATCTCAAATGCCCCTTTCACGTCCCCGTTTTCTGATGCAACCCTCCCAAGAAGTTCACTCACAGACTTCCATCTCCTGCTCCTCACACCTGGCCGAGCCCGCGTCATTGGAAGCAATGCAGTAATACTGCCCCGAGTCCTCTTTATGAACAGCACTGAAAACCTGTTTCAGAAAGTGACATCAGTCAGGAGACAGTCGGCAGGCCGAAGGCGCCGCAGCTGCCCCCAGGTCCTGTGGAAGCCAGCGTGTAGGAGCACCGCTCCCCTGCCTCGGCTTCCTTCTGGAGCCCTGCGCAGCTTCCTCCTGCTCCGCCCTTCTCCACTGCTGCGGAAGAGCCCGACGGCGCACATCGCACAGCACCGCAGCTATGGCAAACAAGCAGCAACGGGCCTATGTATGTATGTATGTATTTATTTTGCGGTACTGGGGATTGAACTCGGGGCCTGGCGTTTGCGGGCCTATTTATTTTAATCCCCGATTACCACATGTCGCTGGGCATTCCAGCCCGGGGGCCTCCCTGGTGACTAGTGTATGGAACACAAGCCTGGGGTGGCTACTGGCAAGGCAGGCTGACTAGTCTTGTTTCCTGTCCCCATGCCACCTCCCACCACCAATGGTTTCTTTTAAAGCAGATTCCTGGCACATTTTATCAATGAATACTAAAGTAGGTATCTCTTGAAGAGCTTTAAAACTCTACACTCAACTATCGGGCCTACAGGAGTTAACAGGTAGTGTCAGCAAACACCCAGCCAGTGATCAGGTTCCCCCTGACGTCTCCTGACGGTTTGTGCAACTGATTAGTCCAACTGGACCTGAATGAAGCCCATCCGGCACGTGCATCTAGCCTCCTTCCTTAGTCGCTCTCCAACCTGCAGGTTCCCCTTTTATTTTACCCCTTGGGCTTGTTTACAAGGAAGAGAAGATCACACTTCCTGTAGAACCCCCAACATTCTGGATATCCAACGCCTGTCTTATGATGCAGCCTTACTGTCTGTCTTTTTTTTTTGTTGTTGTGGAACCAGGGATTGAACTCAGGCCCTTGTGCCTGCTGGGGAACCGCTTATTCCACTGAGCCATCTCCCCGGCCCCTGTTTGTCTTACTAATTATTCTTTCTACAAAAAGGATCACTTAGTCCAATGAACATATCTCCGTCTCTGCCTCTTAGAAGAGCTCTTACCAGTGTGCCTGTTTCAGAGTTCAATAGGAAAGAGGAATTTCGGAATCTGGGGTTGGCTCTGGAGTCCGTTGGCAGGGGCATGTCGTTGCGGTACCAGCTGTAGTGAGGCCGTGGGTAGCCCTCGCTCTCCTGGCACTGCAGCGTGGCCATCTTGCCTGCAGGGACAGCCTTGGGTACTCTGCAGACAGGGGTTACCGGCTTCACTGCAAGAAAAACACGGGCTGGTGTTTGAAACCTCAGCAGCACAGTCAAGCCCACTGAAGTAAGTCAGCTACAAAACAATGAAGCCAGGCTGTGCGGCCTCACAGCGCCGTGGGCTGTGGAGAACTGTGCTTGGCGCGCACCCCAGCCCTTTCCCACACACGTCCCAGTTTCTTCCACCTTCAAGAAGAAGAGGAGACAGAGGATGCTGGCGCACCTTGGGAAAGGGCACCAGCTTCACTTCCCATCCACTTTCCTCAACTCAGGCAGTCTTAGCCTCAAGAGCTCTCTTCCCTAAGCTACAAGCTACAAGACACCCTCAGGAGCAAGCTCTGGATGGGAAGAAACCAAAATAAGAACTGGTCTCTCTCCTCCTCAGCAACCCGTGAGGCCGGACAGGCGCAGGCGCTTCACCAGGAGCTCCTACCTTGCACAGTCAGCTCAATGGCAATCTCATCGATTTCTTTGCGGTCATTTCGAGCAACCACCTCACATCGATAGAGGGCTGCATCTGAGCGTGTCACATTCCAGATCTTTAGGGATGTTTTCCCCAGTATTTCTGCACGACCTGCCAGGTCCCCTATGGAAAAGAAGATTCAAGTGCTAAAATACTCTTTAGAGACATCTTCACCACTTAGAGAAGGTCCTGTTTCTCCAAGTAGCAGAATGAACTCCCCAGGGACAGGAATCGCGACTTACTCCTGCTGGTAATCAGAGTACCAAAGATAGAAGCTGGCGTGGAGGAGGCATTCATTTTGGGTGTCTCTGTCAAGTCAAAAAGCTTATCTTGTTATCATTCCCAAGAAGGAAACCCATTAAAAGAAAAATAGATTAAGTATTTTAAAAATATTGCTGGACAACTGGGTGTGCACATGCAAAGGAAGAAGCTAAGCCTCTCCCTCCACATGCAGTGAGAACCCAATGTCCAGGTGAAAGGGTGAAAGCTAAAACTACAGGCCGCAGGCCTCAAGAGGCCACAAACACGAGCTACCTGGACATCAGCGAAGTTAAAAATATCTGTCCTGCCGAGGACACAAATGAAGTGTGCACAACTGCCATAACATCACAAATCACACACCCATGAAGGACTCCTATAATATATAAAGCATTTGCAACTAAAAGAACAGAAAAATAACCAAATTAAAAATGAAGTTTTAAATAGGTATTTCTCCAAAGAAATGTACAAATGCTCAATACACACATGAAAAGGAGCTCAATGTACCTGTCATCAGGGAAACGCAGCGCAAAAGCACCTTGAGAAGCCACACTCCTGTCTACCTCTACGTCAGCTCCGTCACGGGTCAGACAGTGAGTATTCCAAGGGTGGAGGGGACGCACTGCCTGTGCTAGAGCTGCAGGCCCTGGAGCCTTTCTGGGAAAGTGCTGGTGAGTTTCTCTGGAAACTACACAGGCACTGTCACGGGACCCAGCCAATGACTCCTGGTCTTTTATGTTACAGGAATGAGAACACGTTCATGCAAAAACCTGTATGTGAATGTTCATGGTAGCATAACTGATAACAGACACACAATGAAGACAACCCATATATGCATTAGCCACTTAAGAGATAAAAATTTTATGTCTACAATGAAAATCATAAGGAGGTATGAACACCTGCTACAATATGAATGAATCCTGAAAATATTATGCTAATGAAGACACCACAGACACAAAAGACAGTAAGACTCCTTTATTCTTTTTTTTTTTTTTTTTGGAACCAGGGGTTGAACTCAGGCCCTTGCGCTGAGCCATCTCCCCGGCCCCAGTAAGATTCCTTTACACAAAATGCTAGGAGCAGGCAAACCCACAGAGACAGGAAGCAGACGGAGGGCTCTGGCCGCAGGGGTGGGCTGCTAACACAACTGAAGACTGAGGTGGACCTGACCGTGGTGCAGGCTGCCCAACTATGCACATAAAAACCACCACTGAATTGCACACTATAATGGTGCTTTCAGTACAGTCCTACAAAGCAGAAGCAAAGGCCAAGGAGATGCAAGCATTCCTCCAGCCCTGTGTCCTGCGTAGAAAATCCTCTAGTTTCCATTTCCCATCTGCCAGGCTGAGGAAAAAAATGCCCAAAAGTTCAAAGGATTTTTTACTTGGCCTCTCTGATGATCCAAACTGTATATAGTTAACAGGGCAGCCTACATGGCCAAAAAAATACTATTTTTCTGAGAACAACACATCCATCTCTTTAACAGTAAAGGCTAGGGGAGAACCCAACTGAGGGGGAAATGTCTCTTCTGATGGTACTGAGAACCCAACCAGAAGGTCCACAGCTTTAGCTGTTTCTCCAAAAGCCTTCTCCACTTCCCGTTCCTCTGAGAACTCGGAGGTGCCTGCCCCAGTAGCTCGGGCTGTGCTTTCCCTCCCATCTGAAGGGGGACGATGTCCCTCCCCTCCAGGCCACCTTGCTCCCTTGCCTGCCTCCCTCTGCACAGCCAGGCCCTAGCAATTTCCCTGATGCCCACCACCTCCATGCTCGGCTCAGGCCATCAGCAGCGCGCTCCGGGTTCTGTGGCTCTCTCATGTGGCAGCCCTGCTCCACGCTTTCCCTTCTCCACTCCTGGGGGCAGAACAGCTGCCTCAACCTCCTGTCTACTGTAACACATCACTTCCCGCTGAACCCACGGTGACCCCTCCGGCCCTGCCCCTGCCTGTGCTTGCCTGCACTCGGGGCACCTGCCTGGCCAGGGCACCTGTCCAGCCTCACCTCCTCCTCCACGGCCCATCCCCCTGCCCTGGCCCTGGCAGCAGCACGGAAGCTGCATTCGGCTTCTGTGTCTCTGCGGACAGCTTCTTTTCTGTCCTGACCCCTTTCTCCATGTCGCCCATCTTGCTGTGTGAGCTGGCCATGCTGCACCCTTCTCCTAGGCCACAGGAAGACAGACAGCCCCACTTCACGCTACATCCCCGGGCAGCAGGCGATGGGCTCAGGATGGCGTCTGCTGACCTGCCCAACAGTGCTTGTCCCACAGCAGGCACAGCCAGCACCATACGTGGGGCCTGCGGGCAGCTCCACAACACCCACTGGCCTCGGTGCCACTGTCTGTCCTGATGACCTCAACTGGGTTGCTCCTGTCACAGGCCACGACAAAAAAATGGCTAACAACACTTGCTTTTATTCCTCAGAAATGGACTATGGCCACATCTAAAAGTGTACCTTTACTATGCTTATCTTACACATTTTTGGCCTGTTAGCTGACTGTTAATCTGTATTGATGGTAACTAATTTGATGAAGACTTTTAAAATAGGTAAATAAATCTTATGTCAGAAAAAAAAAAAAAGGAAAGAAAAATTGGGATGTGTCATGTACCAATAAAATTTTTAAAATACACAAATCTTACCAATAAAACATAGCAACCAATACCAAGGCAGAGGGAAAAAGGAAAGACTGCCTCACTGCAAGGCCCATTCTCTGTCAGGCTTGCCTGGGGCCAGGATGCTCCTGGAAAGCCTGTTTAACACTCTATTCCAGAAACACAGGATGGTAAAATCTGCATCTCTACCCTGAAGAAGTCTTTATCTCACCAAATCTACTAAAAATGCCTTAATTTTTATTTATTTATTTTTTTATGGAAAGGTCTACAGGGTGTTCAGGGTCTCACTACTAGATCGGACCCGTAGTGATCCACCTGTTTACAGCCTCTCAAGAGCTGGGATTATAGGCTTGCACCACCCATGCACAGTCTAAACTGCCATCTCAGCACACCCCGGGGGGTGAGGCTAGCACAGAAGGCCCAGGGGATTGAACCCCTGGCCCCTGCTTGCAGGCACTTTAATCCACTGACCTATTTGGCTGGCCCTTAAAAATGCCTTAATTTTTAGATTTTCTTTTCTTTCTTTCTTTTTTTTTTAGCAGTACTGGGGATTGAACTCAGGATTTTGCACTTATTCTACTAAGCACTTATTGTACTAAGCTATATCCCCAGCCCTAGATTTTCGTTTTAAAGATGGATTGTTATATACAGTAAGGTTCTAACTAACTGAACAGTATTTGTTGAACTAGGGCAACAGGTACAGGGAAGCTCAGTACACTACTTTTGCATGTATTTGAAATTATTGTTTGTTTTCAGGCATAGTCTTACCATGTAGTTCAGGCTGGCCTTGAACTCACTATGTAGCTCAGGCTAGCCTTGAACTCGAGGCGACCCTTCTGCCCTCAGCCTCGCCTGTACTGGGATCAGAGGCACGCACCACCATGCCAGCTTCATCCAGCAGATGGTAAACACAGTTCTGGCTACAGATGCGGTCCCCAGCCTGAGACAGCTTTCCAGTCATCAGAGCACATCCAGGCCCAGGGATAAGAGGAAGGTCAGCAGGCAGAGGGCCAAGGGTGATACCTTGAATTTTGTTTTCGAAGAACACGTATGAGGTCTGGTCATCTTGGATTTTCTTCCACTCGATCCTGGGGTCGCTGGTCTGAGAGTCTGTAATGATGCAGGACAATTCCACACCTAGGGAGCAAATGGGAGGGAGCACTGTGACTTCAGACTGCTTCCGGCTCTGCATGTGCCCAGACCCCACAAGCCACCTCTAGGAGAGGCTTTCAGGCCGGTACCAACAAGTGTCTCCAGGCTCCTGCCTCCATGAAAATAGGTTTCGCCTGGAAAACTACTGGCATTGAGACCCTGCTTTATATAAAAGATTTCTTTGTTTAGTCACAAGCCAAGCGGTAAGCAGGTGTCAGGCCATGATATAAGCCAATACTGAGTGGTCACTGGGCGACGCAATGCAGGGCTCTCACGCTGCTGGGTCTGCCACCCAGGGCACCCAAGGTACAGGGAGGCCCAGGAGCACGACCTGAGCTGACTGCAAGACAGCCACATGTCCACTAGAGGGAGCTCGATCTCCTCACATCATCTCATACTTACTTTCAAACTCCTGAACCACTGGGTTGCGATTGCTGGATTTGAGATTCACTGCCCCTACCAAGCAGCCTAAAGAGAAAAAGAAAAGCCAAATCAGAGGGGCCAGGGATAAACTCAGTGGCACAGTGCCTGCCTGGCAAGTGTGAAGTCCTGAGTCCAATTCCCAGTAAAAAATATATAAATAAACTGAGATAATACATTTCTTTTTTTTCTTTTCTGTATTTTAGGGAAGGGTCTACAGGGTGTTCAGAGTCTCACTACTAGATTGGTCTCGTAGTGATTCTCCTGTTTACTGCCTCCCAGGGCAAGCATGGCAGGCCTGGCGATCAAACCTCTGGCCCGACACATTTCTAATTAGCAAAACATCCTCGGCCTCAGGTTAGGGCTTTACATCACTGACCACAGAGCATGGAGAAGCAGTATATTCCACAACAAACTCTCGGAAACACGCATGCAGCCGTTTACTGCCTCTCCTTTCGGCCGGCGCTCCTGCCCCTCCTCCCTTGGGCCTCTCATCTGCCCTGCAGACTCCAAGTCCCGCCAAGGTACTCTGTGCCCTGCGCCCAGTGGCACTCAGCCTGGAGCGCCCAGGACAGCAACCTCCTCGGGGCAGTAGCAGCCACGCCAGCTAGGGTCTGGGTGCTCCTCCGCTTTCACCCCACCCAGAGCTTCTGGTCCACAAAGTCTGCAGCAGTCTTGAGTGAAATGGGAAGGGGTAATGCGCGGCTTTCACGAAGCTGAATTTGCCCTGCTAAGGATGCCACGCAGGCTGTCTGTGTGGTTCCAAATTCCGTCTTGGAGAGAAGACCAAGTAACTGCACTGACCACCTGCAAAACCTATCCTTCAGCTACCTGGCTCTTCAGAAAGCTTCCATCTTGAAAGAAGGCCTTCCCAGGCCTTCCCACAAGGAGGCTTGTTACCGGCCCACTAAGGAAAACCCCCAGACAGGCCTCCTCCTTCCACTCAGTAAGCTGCTAAGCGGATCCCGTCTTCCTTCAATTTACGACAAGATTCAGCTCTTTGCAGCCATCCCAAAAAACGCTGTGATCCACTTTTTAACACAAGGTATCACTGTCATTTTAGTAAAAGAATTGAATAAAAGGAGATGGAAAACAAGCACGCCTGAGTTGCTAATCGTTTCTAAGACATTTACGTTTTTTAAAGAAACAACAGCAGCAGGACAAACAAAGACAACGGTGGCGCTCTGTTCCGCGTGCCCGGGGCCAACCCTTCTGGAGACCCAAAAGAACTGCGTGTCACACACAGAAGCCCTTTCGGCTGCTTCAGACCACACGCTCCCAGCACTCCATGCGTCGAGCACCAGGCGATGCGCTCGGTATCTCAGCATGGCCACCTGGGGCCCATCTAAGTGAGGTGACCATGAACAGTCAGTATGATCAGCACCATCACTCAGCAGACACCACAACTAGCAGCAAGTGACTGCAGCTAGGGACCGCTGCTGGACTCACTTTTCTCACTGCTGAAAAAAAAATACGGGACACTGAAAGTTAAAGGCAAAAGTTTATTTAGCTCACAGGTTGTAGAGGTTTCAGCTTATAAATAGCTGGCGCCAAGGCAGGCTAGAGGGCAGAGGGGCAGCACAGAGAGACAGTTCGCGGCGGGCAAAAGACAAGGCAAGCAAGAGCAAAGCAAGAGGCCGGGAGCACAGCAGCGCCTTCCACCCTTCCCAGCCTCCCCAGCCTGCGGCGCTTGGTGCGAGCAGCACTCACCCGCTTCATGCTAGCATCGCCACCACTCATGCAGTTACTAGTCGTCCACCACTACTGGAATTTTCTGTGTCGTTTCTTCCTTCATGTTCTATCATTTCTGTATTATGAATACTTGACAGTAAGGGGGCATCTACTCCGTCTTTCCATTTCCTGACACACTTTTCCTCTCCAACCTGCTAACATTTCTCCCTTTTCAGTTTTCCTTCTGCAGATCTTCCAGTACTTCCTTCCCCGTCACTCTTAGTGTCCCACGTGTGTCTCTTCCGCATTGTAAAAGAATACCACTGTGTTCTGGAGAAGTATAAAATTATACTAATGTACTAAGGTAAGAGTTTTTACAGACTAGCACAACATTATAGGTTATTTTTCACCAATAAAAATGAACTGTTAAAGAGCCTTAGTATTAGCTTTCACTAGAAACAAACATCAAAGGCAAATATAACATTCTAAATTAAAAAGGTATGCAAAAATTAACTAGTATAAAGCCAACATATGAGTGCATCTCATGCATACAAGACCGACTGGCTGAAAGGACACCTCCCAGAGTGATGCTGGGGACAGTCAGTATGCAAACAAACACACCGCCGAGTGCTGTGGAGGGTAAACTGTTAAGTGGTGAATAAATCCTTGGCAGATAGGTGTCCCAGGCAGCATTTTGTGCCAACCCAAGGAACACGATGTCCCAAGAAGACTCAAGGCAGAGGACAGGTGAGGTTCTGGTCTAAGGATTGTTCTGTAAGCGCTGGGCCCTAGATAGTCTCAGGCTGAGAGTCCTTTCTTAGAAATCTCACTCTAAACCTTAACAATTCTTACATTTATAAATATTCTAACTCCTTTCTTTGCCCACCACCAACATCCTATAATCCCACTTTAAAATTTAATAATAACTGGTGGGGCACAGGCCTGCAGTTCCAGCTACTCAGGAGGCTAAGGCAAGAGAATACAAGACCAGCCGGGGCTACTGAGCAAGCCCCTTTCTCAAGATGAAATTGACAAATGACGTAGCTCAGCACTCCCTGGGGTCCACTTCCAATACTGCAAATACATAAGTAAATAGAAATTTAGAAATTGGAATTAAGTGCATAAAAGAATGGTACCATGAGGACTGGAAGCTCGACATGCGGCCGAGTTAACGCGGGACCGCCGCCTCGTACGTGCAGAGCAGACACCGACACAACCAGCATTTCTACTTCCAGAGCCCACAGTGGTGGCTGCTGGACACTGACAGTACACAGAGAATCCCTGAGCTGCTGGGTCCTCACACCGAGCGGACAGTACTTACGATTAAGTAAGGGCTAAGAGAAAGAAAAGACTAAATCTACTAATCCATGAAATGCAAATGCTATCCCTATGTAATTTCATGTCTGTCCTATCCTGTCCTTCTGACTCCTAAGCTCTTAGGGAGCCCCGTTCATTTGCCAAGTGTTTAGCACTTCTTACATGGTAGGGCCTGCCCTGGCGGTACAAGTCATATAGAGCATAAACATCGATGCTGTCAAGGAGCTGACTTCTCAGTGTGGAAACGGGCAGCGCAGTTCATCTTACTGCACATCCACTGCCCAGATGCCATGACAGCAGGCACCAGCGTAAGGACAGCCATGTAGCCCAAATCAATCTTCACATGATTCCCAAAGCATCTTCAATGAGAATGCCAAAATCATTCCCTGGGAAAAAGATGATCGTCAAACAAATAATGCCTGGAAAACTAGATGTCCACATGCAAAATGATGGGCTGCTATAAGACTATGTCCGAAGATAAACTCAAAAGAAGCAAATAGCTAAATGTAAACTAAAACCATGAAATTTTTAGAATAAAACAAAGAAAAATCTTTACATTGGTTTGGCGGTGATTTTTTATACAATAACAAAAGCATAGACAGCAAAAGAAAAACTGGACTTCATCAAAGTTCAGGAATTCTATGTTAAAGAGCATTATCAGGAATGGGAAGAGAAGCTCAGAAAGGGAGAAACTTCTACAAAGCACAATTTTTTTTTTTTTTTAATTTAGTACAGGGTCTACAAGGTCTCACTCTGTAGACAGGACTCGTAGTGATCCTCCTGTTTTCAGCCTCCCAAGTGTCTGCCTAAGCAGGCGCTTTAATCTGCTGAGCTCTCAGGCCAGCCCTACAAAGCACAAATAAGATCAGGATTAAAATCTAGAAAATACAGCAGGTGAGATAGCTCAGTGGACTAAGTGCTGGCTTAGGCAAGAGCAGGAACTGTGGTACAATCCCCAAGCACCACCTGCCTCGCTGGCCCTGCCCCCCATGCACACTGAGCCAGCCACCGACCGAGACCTAGTATGGTGGTGTACGCCTGTAATCCCAGTGCCAGAGAGACTGAAAACGGGAGGATCACTATGAGTTGGAGCCGCATAGTGAGACTCTGTACCAAATACATTTTTTTAATTATATAAAAAATAAAATCCAGAATATATAAGAACTTCTATAACTCAACAGCAAAACAGCAGCCCAATTAAACAAAACAGGTAATGGACATTCTCCAAAGATACACAAGTGGCAAAAGAGCACAAGAGAAGGCGTACAACAGAATTAACCATAAGGCAGATAAAGCGAAACCATGGTGAGACACTGCTTCACAACACCTGGGAAGGCGATCATTAAAAAAAATAATAAAGGAACATGATACAGCCTGTCCAGGATGTAGAGAAGCCGGAACCCTCGTGCACTGCTGATGGAAGTGTAAAACTGCGGCCAGTGTGGAAAAGTAGTGCGCAGTGTCCCAAAAAGCCAAACTACAGAATTATGATTCAGAAATCATACCCGTGTGGTATGCACACAGACACAAGTAACACAAGTCTCCCCCAAATAAGAATGCTGCCTGGGGGGTGCCTTTCAGCCATTTCGTCTTTTCACTAAACCCCAAGGGGCAGGGACAGCAGACTTCCTGCTGCATTTCCCAGTAAGCCCCAGAAAGCTCTCAGAACAGTGACCGAGAGCTGCCACGCAGCAGCGCGGGGCTGGGAAGCCACTGGCCGCAGACCGCACCTCACGCCCCCAGCCGGATGCAACAAGCGGCTGCTTCTCTTGCTTAGGTATCCACAGGAAGAAGCCAGGTAGACCACGGACTTCTCTGTGTATTTAAATTAGCATCAAATTTTTTAACGTAAGTGTACATAACTGAAAAAATATTTCTGGGATGCTGTAAATATTAACATTTTAAAATAAAACTGTTACTTCACTTTCTTTTAGTGTCTTCACTGGAATCCAAATACAATCATGACTCACTGTCATTTTGTAAACAAGTGTTCTAAGTCCTAATGTTGAAATAATTATAAACTAAAGGAAGCTACAAAGATACAGAAACATCCAGTAAAC